TATTCCTACCAATAACTATGCCAAAGAAAATGATCAAGATGCAACTGTTAGGGCAAAGGTGGTTGCCTATATTTGAGACAAGCAAGCATGTTTGTTGCATGAGGTCAGACTGTTTATCAAGCTTTCTATTTAGAGGTTCTGAAAAGATTGCGTAACGTGCGACAAAAAAGGCCTGATTTGTGGCAGGCACGGGACTGGTTTTGCAACCACCACGACAATGCACCAGCTGACGCAACCATCTCAGTGCAGCAGTTTGTGGCTAAGAACAGCATGGTTTTTTGTCCCAAAATGGGGGACATGAAAGGACAGATTTGATGGCATAGAAGAGGTGAAGAAAAATATGAGGGAGGTGCTGTCAGCCATCCAAACAGATGAGTTTGAAAAATGTTTCCATGAATGGAATCACAGATTTGACAAATGTATTAAGTGAAATGGAGAGAACTTTGAAGGTGACAAGGTTGCTTTATAAAAAAAATTAAATACATAGCTTTGGGGGTGGGGGGTGATTTCCAATTTGGCAGTGGCAGGGAGTCCCCCTTCGTATATTATGCTTTCCCATTACCTTGCAACAAACAAGATCTAGGTTAGAATATATGAATGAGTTCTAAAATTATCTGAAATTGGATGGTTGTCAATCTTAAGATTATAGATTGGTTGTAAAATATTACCACTTGGAGAGAAAAACAAAACCAATTCCAAATAGAAGCATGAAGGTCAGTACTAATTATTATCATTTTCTATGGTTTTACCAAAATAAAGATGATTGCCTTAGTTAACTGTGCTATTATAACAGAAATACTGCAACAGAGTGGCTTGAACAAACAGAATTTTATTTCTCACCATTTGCGAGGTGAAAAATGTGAATTCAGGGGCCAGCTCTAGGGAGGCCTTTCTCTCTGTTGGACTCTAGAGGGAGGTCCTTGCTTCTTCCGAGCTTTTGTTCCTGAGGTTTCTTCATGTGGCTTTGACTCTCTTGCCCACTCTAGCTCCTTTGCTTGTATGTCTCCAGAGAGAGGGGCTCAAGAAACACCCTACACGAATTCCACCTCATTAATATAATAAAGGCAAACCCATTCCCAAATGTTATAACCATAGGTAGTTAGGATTTACAACACATTTTTGTGAAATAGGATTTAAATAAAAAATATTCTACCCTTTCACCCCAAAACTTATGCCTGCCACATGCAACATTCATTTTCTCTGTTACATCATCACAAAAGTCTTAAATCAACTTCAAGTCTAAAATCTCATCTGAAACATCTAAATCAAATATGAGTGAGTCTATAGGTGTTTTTTTATCCTGGAACATAGTTCCTTTTGATCTATGAACCTGTGAAGCCTAGTCTAGATTCAAAAGTACAATGGTGAAACAGGTAAGACAGATGTTTCTACTACCAATGGAAAAGACTGGAAGAGAAGTAGGGATGGCAGACATCAAGAGTCTAAAACTCAACAGAATACATTGCTTTCATGCTCAAGGGTTGAAAAGAACAGATTTTCAATTCTGGGGGGAAAGCTCTCCATCCTGAGCTTCAACTCCACCTTCCAAAAGCACTAATAAAGCAACTCTACTCTCTTTTGCTTTGGGGCAGCCCCTGAGCGATGACCCTTCCCCATTGGTCCCATTCTTCTCCGACTGCTTTAGGCAGCAGCCATATCCTCTTAGACAAACTGAATGGCAGCTGAGTGAGTGAAGACCTGACTCACTGAATCTTAGGAGACCAGGCTTCTACCCTGTGATGTGACAGAGGTTGTGCCCCCTCCCCTCATTATGACACCCCCAAAGTAGTGGTCCACCCTTTCAGGCCAAGGGTGAATAAGTAAGGTACTTCTTGTGCTCCTCCCAAGAGTGTTGCTTTAGGGATAGTTTTTATCTTTTGTTGGGGGCGGTTTCCGGCATGTAGAATTCTAACAGGTGGAGTGTTCTTTCCTTTTATTCGTTTTCGGTTCCCCTCACCTAAGCTAACGATTTTCCTCGGTGGTACTTGGTTAGAGACTTCACACACAGACATCTTAACAAAAGGTGGTGTAGCCATGTTCTTGATGACTACTCTACGACACGTGCCCTTTGCTTGTGCAACAGAATTTTCTAATCCGTAAGCTGTTTTCATTCTTCACCGTTCATTTTAAAATTCTACCTCTTATCACCTTTTAAAAAAATCACATTTTACTATAAGCCAGTAGGAGAAACCACAAAGTCCCTTTACTATCTTGCTCAGAAATCTCCTCGTGCAGATATCCAAGTTCATTACTTACAAGGTATATCTCTACCAAACATTTGAACATAATCCAGACAAATTCTTTGCCACTGCATAAAAAAGCATCATCCTTTCTCCACTGTCCAATCACATGTTCATTGCTTTCTTTTAAAGCCACATCAAAAGCACCTTTCTAGCAACATTCTGTTGCTGGTGCCATACGTATCCTCTGAGGCAATATATTTTCTCTCTGCTTGTCCTCACTTTCTTCAGAGCCCTCACCAATATTGCCTTTGACTTAGCTAATATTCCCAACAGTCTCTTTAACACAATCAGCACTTTATAGACTACAGTGGTTCCATGTTGGGCTGTGGTCCACTTGTTGGGAAGTTTGAAACCACCAGCAGCTCCTCCGGAAAAAGACTGGGTTTCTACTCTGGTAAACAGTTGGTGGGCAGGGCACATGCTATTGAGTCAGCATTGTCTCGAAGGCAGTGAGCGATAGACTACCCTGGCCTAATGTAGTTAGAAAACGTCCCCTTACTAAACACAGTTGGCCTAGGTACTTGGCTTAATGCAGTCTTTGTTTTTTTTTTTAATAAATGACTCAAAGACAAACACGTGTTATCTGTCACCTACTAGGTCCAGAAAAATCTTGAGAGTCTTCTCTTATGTACCTGGTAGTGATTAAAAGTGAGCCGTATAGCTTAATGGTTATACTGTGGGTGCTAACCACAAGGTCTACAATTCAAAACCACCAGCTGCTCCAGGGGAGTAAGAGGCATCTTTCTACTGCCATAAAGAGTTAGTTCTATCCTATAACTTGTCCCATAGAATTGCTGTGACTCGGAATCCATTTGATGGCAGTCAGTTTGGTTTGGTTAGTGATTAAAAGCTGATTCTTGCTATTTAGTCAATCAACAAAGACATCCTGAGACTGGCCTGAGACTCAGAGAACTTTATTGCTGTTTGCCTACTTAGGGTCAACAATTGTTTCCAATGGTTATGATGTACCTAGAGTTGTGTTAGTTGATGAGAAAGAAAACATTACGAATTCCAAGGTGCCTTCCATACATAACTCCCCAAATGTAATTTCCAAAGTAAAAGGTATACCTTCTGTTAAATATTCTGATTTGAAACAGGACACCACAAAAACAGCGTGAGGGGCTCTTGGTCTCCTCCCTGGTACCTTCTAAATAAACTTCTCTTCCTTTCTCTAACTTGGAGTGGGTACATTGGTTGTGCTGCCCCAAGGTACAACACCTGCATTTCAGGTGACACTACTAATATAGGCAAATCGCACACCTGTTTGTCTGAAACGTGTTCTGTACTTGGACTAGTTTCCAAGGAAGATGCTAACAATAAATAAAAGTATTCTACAATGAAACAAACAAACAGAAATCCATTGCCATAGAGCGGATTCTGACTCATAGAGGGCGGACAACTGCCCTCTAGTTTCCTAGGCTGTAAATGTTTAAGGAAGCCGCTGCTACATCTTTCTCCAGTACAGCCACAGCGGGGCTGCTGGTTAGCAGCCTATCGCTTAAGGCACTGCACCACAACCCTAAAACCCCAGGGTGACCACAAAAGTAATATGACATTGAAGAAACTTTTGCTAAAAATTATGAATCTAGGGCCTAGATAGTCCCTCTTTTGGCGGGACAGTCCCGAGTTTGAACAAATTTTCCCGCGTCCCGTGGCGTTTTAAAAAAGTCCCGATTTTTGGAAAGAATGCAGGACAAGCTAGGGTATACGGTTTTCGGCTGCCATGTGGCTATTTCGCCAGGATATGAGTTTTATCAATGGTGTTCCGCTTTATCAATGTTAAAATCTGGTCACCTTAGCTAGGCCAGGCCTAGACTCTAGGCTGACCATCTTCAGACACGAAAGAACACTGGGAAATTGAAAATATACCCAAACTCGAAACCACTGCTCTCAAATGTATTCCTACTCATAGAGCCGCTACGTATCTTTACGTTGGAAACCTTTTGGGGAGCGGATAGCTTCATCTTTCTGCAGCAGAGCGCTTGGTGGGTTTGAACCACCAAACTAGGGGTTAGCAATCCAAACCTTTTCCCCAGTAGTCTGTGACTTTTTTGGCGTGAAAAGTTGGAACATTCGCGGGGGAACCATACTAGAATGGCTGCCATCGGGAAAAGACTGTCATTCGGCCTCCGGTAGCCAGGGCCAAAGGAGAACGGGAAGGCCAGGCGAGCGCAGGGCGGCCCAGCAGCGCATCTCGGAGAGGAGACTCCCAGTCGGCGCGGTGAACTGCGCACTAGGCCCGCGGCCCGGCCCCGGAGCAGCGTGACGCGCAAGGCACCCTGGGATTCGTAGTGTTTGTTTTTTTTCCCTTTCATCAACTATGACAAGACGGGAGGCCTTGCTCTTCCTAAAGGCCCTGCTGCCCGACCGGGCTCTCTTTCCTCCCTTTGCCTCCCCCCGCACCTCTTTTTCCCCTCGGAGTTTGAAAATTTCCCGCGGAGCCGGCGCCGGAGGCCGGAAGCCTCGCGAGACTTCAGATCCGTCCCGCCGCGAACTCCTTTCGTTCTCCCCTCCCTCTCCCCGCCCGCTGTCCCCTCCCTTCTCGGTTGTGTGGGAATCGATCCGTCTGCCTCGGGTACTGCGCAAAGCAGAGCTGGCTTTGCCGGGGCAGCGGTGGTAGCGTGGGCCGTGCCGGATCCCGCACAGCAGCGCGAGCAGCGGGTACGTGCTTATCGGCCGGCGAAGGCACTCACCGCGGGTGCGGATCTCAGCCCGGGAGCGTCGGCCGAGGCCGGCGCGGTGCAGCAGCAGCTTCCGCGGGGCGGAGGTGTGTGCACCCAGGCGGCGGCGGCCGTGTCTCCCGGGAGATGCTGTGACGGACCCGCGCCGGAGGAGCTCGCACCCTGCTGGACCGTCACTCCCCACCCCACCCCCCTCCTCAGGTAAAGCAAGGAGAGAAGGGGTG